TTTTGATATACATCGTGCCCTGACTGTTTGAGGGTCCCAGCGTCACGTATACAATGTAAAACGCGACAAATAAAACGTCTCTGATTGGTGGACACGACGAACCCAAAAAGGGTATAAAAGAAGCGTTTCTTCTTACCGGACTCTCAGTAGAGTTTGGTCGCTCGATCGGTTTCGCTCATATACCTTCTCTCAGTAAAGGATTAAAATAAAGTCTTCTAAAGCAAAGAATTAGAATCATTTCCATTCCATAATCCCAATACGTATCATTTCGAATGAAAGAGGAAATTTGCTCACGGAAATCGAGCTAAAAATTTCATATCGCATTGTCCGCGCGAGCGGCGCGCGACGGCGAGCGGGATGCCCGCGATCAAATAACAAGCTCGATTCGTCTATCGGAGAAGAGGCAAGAGTTTTCCCGGTGAAATTGATATTAAACGAACTCTCGGCGAACTCTAATCGCGCGCAAGAAACACGGCCAACAAGGCAACGGCGGCGGCGGCGGGATTGAAAAGTAAGAGACGCGCAAACTTTTGCCCCGCGAGATCGAAGTTTCAAGGCGGTGCCGGGCGGCGGTTCGAAGCGGTTCTAAACGGTTCGAAGCGGACCCCGGACTCCGATGATACATAAATGGTCGGCTCGTTGGTCCGAGTGAACGGCTCGCAATTCACTCGCGAAAACTTCTTCCGGTGGCGAGTAATAAACCGAACCGATTACCGGGCGCAGGATGCAATATCGCCGGTCCGGAATCGTCCCCGGCGATGTAAAAACGATCGTTCCGCCGAATTTTCATCTCGCTCGGCGGCGGCGGCCCCGCGCTATTCAGAATCGAGGAATCCGGCGGCGTTTTCGTTTAACTTTCCCAACTGGAAATGATGAAATTCGGCTGAATTCGCGCTGAGAAATATTTTAAAGTAATTACTTCGCGCGCGAATCGGCGCGGTAATAAAACGATCTGTTAACAATGCTACAATTGTTTAACTTCGGCTTTGTCGAGCTTTTCGTTTTCAAGCTATAAAGGTAGTAGAAGCATACTAACGTTACGCCACGTTGAATCGCGTCAGATCGTAGGAATGAAGTCCGCCCGCGCGTGATAATGTATGAACAGCGTGACGCGATACTGATCTGTTTCAAACTGATTTGAAATAATAGAAATAAGCAGTAGTATATTGTCAGGCGTGGTCGAATTTCACGTATTATTTTTACTATGATTTCACGTGATGTGATAATAGTATGTTTCTAACTTGAATCGAATAATATCGTCTGTGTCTCGCAGGACTGCAGTCCCATGATGATTAACATTGACTTAAATTCTCTTGAAATTCAGTTTTCTGGAATATTGTCTTTGTCTACAATGCTTTTTGATAACGGAGCAGTCTATACTTTTTTTTTACTGAATATCTAGAGTTTATTATTACACTGTGTATTTTTATGCATCATATGAAATGTATTTTTCTAGTTTTTAATAATAATCTATTCTTTCTTCTCTTTAAAAGTCTTTAAAAGCTTTTTGCCATAAATGCATATTATATTATTGTATGCTCGATACTATAGCACACATCTCTGATAATTTATGCACATTATTTTCCACAGCCTTTCTTTCTTTTTTCATATAGTTTCCATTATTTTTCTTTTACTACCTCTATAAATCTCCGGATTTATCACTCGTATACAATAAATAATAATAACGATATTACGGAAAATAGTTGGAATACGAAGCTGTTCGATAATCGAATCGTTTCTCTTTTTGCACAACGAACATCAATTCACTGGCTCGTTGTGTGCCAGCAGTCTGGTTACAAAATTCCATCACTGCAAACCTCTGTTCACATAACGCGCGCGCCACCACGATTTTATTTAACAATGTACACGTAAAATGAATTTTACTTGTCCACCACTGGCTACGAAAATTTCAATATTCCCCGACAAAGTATTGCGTTCGAACTCGACAATTTTTAATTAATTTCGCAGGGTCCATTGTTCAGGTCCATGACAGTTCAAGGGGTGCAATTCAAACGAGAATCAACTGGCAGTAATTTTCCAGATACGGTTTTGAAAATGTGCAGCTTTATAGCATCTTTTTTATTTAACGCGAGAGCGCTGGTCCGAATTATGTGTAAATTACTATCATATTAATGTGAATATAAAATATATTATATGTATAATATTATAAAATTAGTATCATATATTAAATTCGTTGTACAAATTATTGTATTTTATTTGAGTTTAATATATTTGATTTTATTCCAATCTATTCAAAATTTTTGTTTTATCTTATCTGTTTCATTTAATTAGTGTTCGTTCTGAAGAAAAGCACAACGACGATGTTCATTAATTTTATTTGATTTGCATGTTCGATGGACACATTTCACTTCCACGTTCCGTACGAAATTTTCTTCCAACTTCTGCACAACTTTCACCAAATTTTTAATCATTTTTACTCACGTTTAATTGTCGCCAAATGTCAAATAATATACGGCAATCCGGTAGAAAAAATTTGAACGGCGCGAAATTTGAAAGTAACGCTAAAAAAAAATGGACACCCTTTAGAAATCGTTTGTCCGCCGTGTAATCGGCGAGCGTTTCGCACCGAAGTGATTCCGCGAGGAAGGTTCCGATTTTTCGCAGCGCGGGACACGGCGTTTCCTGCGAGCAAGAGTCAAATTGGCTCGGACGCGTCGGTGACGTTTTGAAACGGGAGCGACGACGCGCGGACGGCGATTCTAATTGAAAAAGAGCAAAGCGTTCTCGGACCCGATACGTTCCGACTGCCCGATCGGCCTTCTCTCTTTTTATACATATATTTCAATTACAGGTTCGCGTTCCCCGGGTGAAACGAGAGCGCCCGCGATTCCGTCGCGTTGCAGAACGGAACGGACGCCGAGCGTTTCACTCTCCGGGCTGTGTTCGTCCATTGTTCCGGTTAGCTTCCTCGAAAATTATATTCCGAATTGTCCGAGAAGTTATTCTAGTTACAGCCTTCCGATGACCCAGCGATTGGACAGAAGTACACTCGACAGCAAAATTAAAGCATCAATTTATGGCCGAAAAAATTTCCTAGTTCTAATTTAAAATCGTATTATAATTAACAGAATTTAAAAATGACAGTCTATTATTTTTAATCCGTTGAAACGGTTAAAGAAAGGATGAAGTTACTGTTCAATCTCTATTTCTTGCAAATAATGCAACTTTATTTTGCAGAAAAATCCACAGTCTAGTCATAAAAATCGTTCATAAGAAATAGATTGTAGAATAACACAGTAAACCGAACAATGCTACTGTGATTTTTCGAACTGAAAACTTATATACTTCGTATTATTATAATTTATATATATTTATTATATATATTATTATTTATCATATGTGTATATATATATATACACATATAATAAATATATATACACATATAATATATATATATATATTATAAATTACTATATTATAAATTATTATAAATTACTTCGTATTTCATTTATAGACAAGCTTTTATGAAATAAATTGTACAATAACATAAATATCGTTAGAACACCATTGTTTTGTTCATTTTCTGCACGCGTTATTATTTAAGTGCGGCGACAGCCGAATATCCTTTTTCGAGCAGGTCATAAAAAATCACGCGACAGAGGGTTAACTTCCGATTTCGAATGCGACCGAGAACAAAAGGGGTGGCCGCTGCGCGGCGGCGGCGGCTCAAGCCATTTGTTTCAATTAGTAGCAGAGAGTCGGTAGTCTCATGTGATTCGGTGTGCCGCGACACAGTTCGCTGCTCGTTGCTACAATGCAACCCTGGCTGCTGCACCGTGCACCCCCTCTGATCTCGGTGCAACGCCTGTTTGCCAGCCGACCGGCTCTGTTACTTCGACCGGGTTCGGCAGATAATGAAATTTTATCGTACCCTGGCCGAAGGGAGGAATGGTCCGCACAGCCTACACCTGCGATTAAAGTTTATCTGAAGCTGCAACGGTGAAAGGTTCGATTCGCGCATACATCTTTGACGGCGCGCATGTAAGCGCTACCATGAATAGAACATATATCGAATAGGACATTAACACTATCACAAAGATTGTGAATATTTCTAAAATAAAATTATACTTGTTTTCTAACTATACTTTGTAAGTAATATTTTTCATTTTTTCTCGTAATGTTGTACGAAGTACTGTCATTTTTGACTGAGTTTTTATTTATCGCAGTCTATGAGGTATTTATTCAAGAAATTTTTACCATAGTAATTAAAAGGCGTCGGATTTTATGCGCTTATGGCAATGCCGGGTTAGCTGAAATTTACAATAGTAGACGGTTCAAAAGAATTTTCAAATGACAGTGTATTATTTTTAATCGATTAAACTGATTACAGGAAGAATGAATTCGTTTTTTAGCTTTTATTTCTTGCAATCGATGCAGGCAACTTTTATTTTGCATAAAAAACCGCTGTTTAGTATTCAGTATATAATAATTGAATTTAGTATTATATTTGATTTAGTATTTAGTATATAATAATTGAACAAGTTAAATTTCTAAAAAGGAGAAATATCTTTTATAAAGAATACCTTCTTACAATATGTTACACGCGAACGAAAGAATTGGAAGTACATTAGCTCGGACATTCTTACGACACGAATAAGAATCGAATTTATGACAATATGACATACGGATGTACGACATATATGTACGACGATCCATAACCAGCAGATGTCAGTCTTGCATTGAAACAGACGACAGGTACTTCCAACTTGCAAATGCGAATATAAACTCTCGTGCCTTGCATTGCAAGAATTGGAGTTCTAATATGCATCGAAGAATCTTTAGCGTTCTTGAACTTACTGCAACTGTGCATTGTGCTATTAGAAATTGTTGAAACTACGCGGTTGATGATCTTACTGGACACTCGGTTATTAATTGGTGAAGCAATCACGCAACAATTTTTACTTAAAGTGAAGACCGGGCCACATGAGTCGCTCGAAAATTTGCTCGATCTATAAACATTGTTAAGGAATAAAACTTACGACTCTTAATGGCGTTCTCGTCAAATAAACTGCAGATGTTTGCGCATTCACAGCATTCCCAAATCTGCAAAAATAAAAATATCTGTGAGTTCGAGACGGAAATGATAACTTTGCATTTATTCAGAATTTTTGCTGCATTTTTTTAACTAATCAAATATTATGCGTCCTTTATATATAAAATACATTTGCGAACAATATGAAAATATACAAAAATATGAGAAATATGAGACGTATGAATATAAAAAAATTTAACAAATGTAAATTGTGTAAAAAGTGTGACAAACATAGAAATCTGAAAATATAATATAAACGAGGAGAAGTGTATAAAAATATTTAAAAGCATGTGTCTATGTATATTCGTGTCCGATGATATTTCACTTGATTCGTCAAAAATTAAATATTTTTAAGGTCTCTTGGCTGCAGGGACTAAGTCTGTCAGAAATATTCACAAAAATATGTTTCTTAAAAAATGCCGAATAAAGCTAAATATCGTTATAATAGATATATAATACATATGATATATGTCCAGGGGTTGAGAAAATCGATAAAAAAGAAATCGATTTTTCTGAATCGTTAGGGCGGCGTCGTTTCTCCCTTAAAGGGAGTGCATCATCCCGAAGCATCAAGAAATTGGTAAACTTTAGGAATTTTGTTTGTAGATAATTACTGACTAAAGTATTTAGTCTTTCTACGAGAATATAAATGCAAGTTTCAGCTTCGCTTCACAACTTTTTAAATGTAAAGATTGTACAAACTGACGTAGTTACACATTGTTTCCGAAGGTAGCGAGCCATAAGGGCTCGCAACACGAATCGCTCCGTCGAGAGAGATTCGAGTTGCGATGGAATTGGGACCACGGTGCGCGCTGGCAAGCTGAAATTCGACGACACGGCTAGAAGTATCGGACCGAGTGGTTCTATCGTTCGTTTCTCCGCTGTGGAGACGGTCGATGCAGCGTGTCGGTAGCAATTCAATTAAACGACGGCCTCCGCGCGCACTCGCACGTATAATGTAGCGGCCGTGCAAACAGTGGCGAGCTTTCAGCCAGAAACGAGGCCGATGCGCGCCTATTACCGCACGACACAACATGCATCCCCGTGCATCCGGATGCCGCGGGACTCCGCCGATCGTCTTTGATGCACGCGCCGTCTGGGAAAAGAAGAACACCGTGCTCTCGCGAGGGCCGGGAATGGACGCATTCGTAATAATTAGGGTGGACGGGTGTCGGACCCCGGATAATCTGGAAATGCTGTTTCGATGTTCCGTCTCGATATTTAATTGGCGCTGTTCGACCAATTCCATCTCCGCGAGCCTTGTCCAGAGTTCAACGGGTCACTGTTTCTGCGGCAGTCTATACCAGGGGTCGGTCTAATTGCACGACCGCCCCAGTTCGCCGTCGCCATTTGCTCCCCTGTCGATCTTCCCTGCTAAAATGATTTAGTAAGTACAAGGTATCGCCATTACGAAATATTGACGGCCGAACGGCGCACCTTTCTGATGAAAATTAAACTGACAGGGGATGATCCCCGACACGGACATTCAAAATGTTTTGGAACATTCGGGATGCGCAGGGCGTATGCATATATGTATGTGTCACGCAATTTGTTTCTCCCGCGTACATTCATTTGAAAGGCTCGAAATACAACCCCCAAATATTCGGTTGTTTTTACACGGCAACATAAATAGAGGAGAGCCTGGATTAACCGATCTGAATTTTCCTCTCGATCTTTATTACTTAGATTTTTCATGATTTCATGTGATAACGATTAAACAATAGCAGGATCTCGATAAAATCTCGATCTATCGTCTGTATTAATAATTCATCGAAAATAAAAAGAATTGAACTATCAATTTTGAATTCGGATAATCGAAGTTCTACTCCTACTATTTTAATTTCTGTTGCTACGTTCTAAACATAACATTGTAAAAATGATCTACGTAAGAATAACTATGTATACTCTTTGTTATATTTTTTTATAGAAATATTTTATTGTTATGTCGCTACGACACAACGGGAGAGTTTCACAAGAAATTTGAGGGTTCTTGTTCTGATCGGAGAATTTACCGAGTTAAATTTCCTTTATTAATTTCCTAGTTCCGGGTTAAATTTTCTTTACTTTAGTAATTATATTTCTGAGCGTGCTGATGATGCGAATAGATGCGAGGATCGGTACCTCGTTAGACGCACGTTTTGAAGGAAACTGCGCTGGTGCAGATTTTGAAGGGCTCTGCGCTGAGGGAAAGTTGATGCATGCATATACATATATATATAGGTTCTTACCTATTTAGGTTTGGGAAATCATAAGGGTTAGTATGCTAAAGTCAGAATTTTGAAGAGGACGTGACGACGCAAAGGTTCAAGTATGATGCGGCAAGGACAGATGTCGAGGATGAGGCGGAGTTGAGGATTTGTCAAGGGTGAAATCATGGCTTACAGAAGATTTCGGGATGTTCGATAAGAAGATAGTGGAATGACGTTGGTATGCAATATAACATTAACAATAATAAGTGATGTAACAGCAATAGTAGTAATAATAATAACAGTAATGATAATAAGAGTAATAATAATAACAGTAATAATAATAATAGCAATAATAATAATAATAATAATAAAAATAATAATAATAATAGTAATAATAATAATAGCAATAATAATAATAATAAAAAAATAATAATAATAATAATGTGGTGGCTACTTCCAGACCCGCCAACAGATGGCTCCTCTTCTCTCAAGTAACCGATCCGACTCAATTTGTATATACAGTAATGTCTCCCTTACTGACGCTCACAGATTGTTCACTAAATTGGACAATCTGGGAAGAGGAGATACGATTATTCGAGCCTTGCGGTTTATTTTTATAGTTATAAATTATCCACAATTATAAAAACGAGCCGCAAGGCTCGAATAATCGTATCTCCTATTCCCAAATTATCCATTTTAGAGGACAATCTGAGCGTCAGTAAGGGAGACATTTCTGTACATCCCAACGTCTAAGGCAAGGACCCGCTAGGACAGTCTTACCGATGAGTCCTCTAGCGGGTCCCGGACGAGACGTCTCCCTTAACACAGTCACATTCTTCCATCGCCAAAATAATAAGCACGTAACATCTACATTTTTCGACCATAACTTTTGTACACTTTTGCAACTGTTTTTGCAAAATGACCTCACCATAAAGGCTCAACTGCGCAAATAAAAAAATTTATTTTCAATACACGTACTTATCTCTACAACGTCGAATAAATCGTGAAATATTATTTCGTGCAAACACGAGTATCACATTAATCATTTTCCGAAGCTTTTCCAAATACTTTTACACAGGTCCGAATACGACGGATACGCCGTTCGTTATACGCGATCCACACCTCATAATTACAATGCGATATTTGCAGTGTAAACTGTGTCTTCTGTACGCACATTCAGCCGTAACCGTTAGAAGCTTTCCGTTCATTACCAGTTATCCATGGAATGCTTTCGCTTGCCGTGTTCGAAGACGGGCCGCGGATGGTACGGCGAGAAAAAGCTAGATAAACAATGATATCGAGTGGAATTTACGAGCCCGTTCCGCGGACTTCTCTGAACTGCGGAACGAGCTGGTAACGGCTAGATGTTGCCACGCGAAAATCGTGCCAGGACGCCGGTGTCGCTAATTGGAACGAGCATACTGCGGATATACAGAGTGAGTCTCGCAACACAACGATATCAAATAACTCATGATATATTCGTCGTACGAAATAATGTTTCAAATAGAAGTCGCATGGTTCGCAGCGGCACATATAGCGCTGTAATCAGCTTTACGTTATCTTGCTTTGTTATCAAGATACGAAGGTCACCTTCAATTTTTTCAATGGAATGGTTTACGTTTCTTTCCGAATTCGGATAAAGCGTTGAATTCTACATAAATAAGCATTGCACCGAATAGGGTTTAAAATAAATAGTTACTAAATTATTAGCGTAAATTCATTGGTTCTATACGTGAATAATTTATACACATATTAACACTGAATCTACCGAGATCTAAAAGCGACTAACAAAAATCGCCTCATAAGAATTACAAGATAGAATTTATTGAAATTTTTCACAATTTTTATAATAGCGTGTGCCCGAGTAAAGAAATATATTCAACAATTTTTAATGGCAGCAGCTTTATGACTTTAATAATTACGAAATAAAGAATGTGAAACCGGTCATTTGGCCGGCGGTGATTTAGTGTTAAAAGGTGTTCGAATATTAATAAGAGTCACCGCAGATCCCCGAGGCAGCCGAAACCACGGATACTCCGAATCTTCGGCGAGTGCAGGATGGCCTCGTGGAATTGTCACGATAGCGAACGATAAGTCCGGGTCAGGTGCTTTGTTAGGTTCGTCCCGGTTGCTCCAAAAGTCACAGAAATTACTTCGTCCACGTTAATACATCTCGAACTCGGAATTCGGATAGAAACATCGACGGCGAAGAACACAGCTACGGAGGGCAGCCGAGAAATGGGATCCGAGATGCACGGAGCTCCGACAGCGCGGGGAAACTGCCGCACGAAGACAGGTGCTGAAATGTAATACTAATAGAAACCGAAACACAGAAACAAAGGTGGGAACGCCTTGAGACGGTAATCGAAGTTCGCCGGCTGAAGTGGAAATCGATGTGCGCCGGGCCACGGAAAAATCGGAAACTCGAATGGCGAGAGACAATCAATGGGAAACCCGAGTGCGACTCGAAGCTCTGAAAGGGAAGAAAAATTGGAAAAATTAAGTTCGAGCAGCTTGATGATGGAAGCAACTCGATTTTTCATTGTTCGGCCGGCTGGCTTCCGTCGGTTCTATTTTCATCCGGTCTCTCGCACCTCTATGGCGCGATTCCTGATGGACTGCATCTTACAAGAAAGATTAACGCGTCAGTGGCACCGTTTTCTTTCTAACAAACTTGAAAATCAATTTCCAGGAAGATGGAAAGTAAATTAATTTTCAATAAGATCTAAAGTAAATTAATTTTTAGTAAGATCTAAAGTAAATCAATTTTTAGTAAGATCTAAAGTCAATCAATTTTTAATAAGATTCAAAGTAAATCAATT